AATTGATTATATTGATTATATATTACAAATATATAATTAAATAGATTTTCCGCAAGCTATTACTAGTTACAAGGACCACTATATATATATACGTATATATATATATAATTGATTATATATTACAAATATATAATTAAATAGATTTTCCGCAAGCTATTACTAGTTACTACTAACATAAGGACCACTGACCAGGCTAGACTCGTTCTCCCATGTTAATTCTCTGGCAAATATCCTTGAGGAAGGTGTACAAACAGTGCGGCATTTGAATAGAAGAGAGTTCATTCTGGAAGCCCAGGCTTAATAGTGTCTGCTGCGGCTCTATAAACAAAGAACCGGCTGGAGTCATCGATCCTCACGGATGTACTGCAGCCGATGACAGAATAAAGCTGCAGGATTCACTGTCTGCTGTGCCCGTCGCGCTTCTGACCTCAATTCAGGCTACAGAGTGTCAACGTATCCAAGCAGATACCAGCACTATCCAAACTCTGCTGTTGAGCTTCTGAGAGCATTTCAATGCCAGAGACAATTAGGCAGATTAGTGTTTTCTCCTGTAGAGTAAAGCTCTGTGCTACGATAACACGACAGCATGGCTCTGCTCCAAAACCTGGTGAGCTGCCTATGTAGGCGTCATACTGTAGGTGCACACTACATGAAGGCTGTTCCAAAAGGTAGGCAGCAAAATTATGCTGCCTTATTTTGATCACATTTTGGAGCAGCATCACATGTATTCATCCTGCAGAAGGCAATCCCATAATTATTGTGAATTCACACATGCCTGTTGTTACTTGTACATAAACATACATAGACAGCCCATTTAGTGTGTAGCTGTCAGGGTTTGGGTAAAGGGATAGAGCGAGGACTCAATGGTGCAGGAGATTTAAAAAAATAAAACAAAAACTACCCCGTGGTAGTGATGTGACGTTCGACACCGAGGCTTCGAAGCTTCCCGTGATGTATCGAGGGCAGGGAGGAACACACAGCCTAAAATGTTGCTTGCCTTTATCACCCCCTTTATCAGTCTTGTGCTTAGACTTTAGCATTTTAGCTTTCTCATTTGAGATTTAGCATTTAGCTTTCTCGTCCGAGGCTTCGAAGCTTGTATCAAAAAAACGAAACATCTCACAGTGAAGCACTGTACCTGAGCTTGATTCATTTTGCCAAAACCACGTGATCCGTGACGTCCGAATCTTCGTTTTCGCACACAACCACGTGACTGCTTCATATTCTGATTCAAATAACGCAAACCACTTGCGCAGTTTCAGGTATCACTCACTTCTTTGAAAAGAATAAATCATAATAGAAATAAATATTTGCATGTGTAGTTTTGTGCATGTTCATTTTGTATTAATTCCTGGTTCAGACACTTTAACTGACCATTCTATGATAATCTTCGGTTATTTTGATCATAGCCTATATATGCCTACAGCCTTGCCTATTTTCCGCAAATGTATTAACAGAATCATGTATTCATATTGTGTAATACAATGACTGACATGAAGACTTATTTATATAGACTTCATATTTTCTTTGCTTTATACAGATTTTCATAGCACAAACTAATTTATTATCTGAAACAGTCCAAAAATGGCTGGGTCGTCTGGGACGCAAAGGCAGCTTTTTCCACCTTTTGACCACAAGATGTCGTTAGTGTGCACCATCTTGAAAAGCTTCGAGCAACGAACCTTTTTACGATACAGTTGAGGGGAAAGCCTCGGTGCTTCGCAAAGCTTCATTTTTCCATCACTACCCCGTGGGGAAAAACACAACTGGCAACAAGGCTTGGCAAGGCAAGGCAGGGCAAGGCAGGGCAGGACACAAGGCACACACTCAACATTCAACAACGAACTGCCCGGGACTGCAAACACAAAGAGAATAAAAAGGGAGCAAATGAGGAGGGTAATGAAGGAAACACAGGTGGGGCAAATTAATCAATAATCAGGTAACAAGATGGGTGGGGTCAAGACAATTGACATGAGAGCACATGGCACACAGGAAACAAAGACCAAAGCCATGTGCTCACACAAAACAAAAACACAAGCATATGGCCAGCAAAACAAAATCACCAGCCATGTGCAAAACAAGACATGAACACGCAGCTAATGAGAATACTCATAAGCCGCGTGTTCACACAAGACATCACATGAAAGCATGCAGCCAATGAAAAACACAAGCTGCGTGCTACACAGCACAATACATAACATGAATGCACGCAGCTGATAAAAACATGAACTGCATGCAACAACACAAGACACCACAACAAACGCAGACAGAAGAGCACACGGCCCGAGCGAACTCGAGGCCGCATGCTCCCACAACAAGACAGAACATGGAGCGCGAGTGTCCGAACCCCGACATGAAACCGAAACTCAACAAGACATGAGTGCCGGGATCCGAACACCATGCTCCAACATGAAACAATGAAACAGGACACGCAGACGAGAGCTCACGGCTCGAGCACTCTCGAAGCCACACGCTCGCATGAAAACAACGACATGACGGGAGTGTCAGGGCTCTGTCACAAAACCATGAATAAACTAGACCGAAGTGACAGAACCCTGACGCTAGCATGATTTTATTTTATTTTTAAATTTGTTTAATTTTATTTTACATTTGTTTAATTTTATTTTATCATGTGACTGTATGAATCAAGAATTACTAAATCAAGTTGCATATTTAGTCTGCCATATGTAATCGGTATTGTCAGTGTTTCTTTTAATGAAATTCCCATTGATTAAAATTCACAATAATTGTATTTTATTTTATTTTAAATTTGTTTGTATTTTATGATGTGACAGTATAAATCAAGAATTAGTAAATCAAGATGCACATTTAGTCTGTCATATTTTATAGGCATTGTCGGTGTTTCTTTTATTAAATTCCCATTGATTAAATTCACAATTATTTTATTTTATTTTTAAATTTGTCTAATTTTATTTTACATTTGTTTAATTTATTTTATCATGTGACTGTATGAATCAAGAATTAGTAAATCAAGTTGCACATTTAGTCTGCCATATGTAATAGGTATTGTCAGTGTTTCTTTTAATTAAATTCCCGTTGATAAAAAATTCACAATAATTTTATTTTATTTTATTTTAAATTTGTTTAATTTTATTTTATCATGTGACAGTATAAATCAAGAATTAATAAATCAAGTTGCACATTTAGTCTGTCATATTTTACAGGCATTGTCAGTGTTTCTTTTAATTAAATTTCCATTGATTAAATTCACAATTATTTTATTTTACTAACACACATTTAAAAATAAATTTACAGTTTCTTTTTGAGTATTGTGTTTCTTTATTCATTTATATAACTTTTAGTTTTTTATTTTTATTGTTTTTTTATTTCACAATGACAGTGACAATTTGAATCAAGAATTAGTAAATCAAGTTAAACCTTTAGTCTGTAATATTTTATAGGTGCAGTCAGCATTTCTTCTAATTAAACTCCCATTGATTAATTTCACCGTTTATTTTATTTTATTCTATTCAATTCAAAACAACAATTTCCATTTGAATATATTTATTTATTTATGAATTCATTTACATTCCTTACATACCATAACACATTGTTTTTTTTTTTTTTTCTTAAGCACATTGTTTTTTTCTCTCACACAGGTCATGCCTGCCTGATTAATTTAGGATGAGCTAAAATATTAAATATTTACAGAGAGCAGACGTGCTTGAGAATCCTGAAGTGTATGTGCTCATTAGGCTTTAAGGCATCAACGTCAAACTTTCCAAAATATTTCTCCTTTGCACTCCTTGAATAGGAGTTTGGGAACCACTCTTGGTTTTGCAGAAATCTGTCCTGCTACAGCTGTCTGTGTTTGTCTAATCTTACACTTATAGAAAGATGAGAAAGTGGACTTGGAGAAAGAGGAATTTTACTTAGAGCAAATGAATCAGCAATGGAAAGCCAGTATTAGAAGCACAGCAATTCCTAATTTCTTTTATAGGAAAGTCTGCAATTCCTCCAGTTGTGTGTGAAGATGTTATGCACATAATTTCTCTAACATCCTACTGTCTCCCAGATCGAAAGCAAGTGCCTGTTTGCTGCATACTGACCCACGTAACCGCTACCTCATCCGTCTGCCGGCCAAACTTCCCGGGATGCACTACAGCGCTGACAAACAGTGCCAGATCCTCTTCGGCACCAACGCTACGTTCTGCACTGATATGGAGGTGTGTGTGTCTTTCAGCTGGGAATGCACTGATATCATACTGCACTCATGCACTACATGCTTCCATACCGCAAACGGACACAATCCAGCATACATACACACAAATAAACACCGGCAACATGCAACTCAAACTTTCTGACCTAAACAAGATTATATATGTGGCAGAATCCTGTTGCAGTTGCTTTTGGTCCTGGGATCATTCCTATATGTAAGTAGTTGAAGTATAAATGTATCCAGGCTACATTATAGCAGGTGAATAATATAAAGGGTTTCACGCTTATCTGCGCAAAGCCTCCTCGTACATATTGCATAAAAAATATGAAATAAATTAATCTTTATAAAATAAATTGAAATGTATACATTTTAATTAATATAATACTATACATATTATATGCTTAATTTAAGTGGTACTTAAATAAAAGTCATAAATTAAGATATAAAATATATACATTAAAATACATTTATTTTGATATGAATATTTTCATTTGGTCTTTGTAATATGGTCACAATATTAAATGTGACTTTATAATTGTGGTATAATCATTTATGTAATACATGTAAATGTTTTTCTGTTGTTAAACAGCAAATATTTAAGCATGAGTCTCAGAAAAATTATTTTAATAAATTGCACATTGATAAAATTCACAAATTTCTTTTCTTTATTCACATAAAAGCACAATTAAATTCACATTTTTCTTTTAAATTTATTTATTTATACATTTTAATTTGTTATAAAATATATCATTAATTAAATTAAATCAAAACAAAATCCATTTTGTCTTCATCATTTGATTTGGTTTGATTCACATAAAGTCGCAATTAAATTCACTTTTTTACTTTTAAATGAATGTATTAATTTATTTATACATTTTAATTTGTTATAAAATATATCCATTTTAAATTTGAAAAATTCATTTTGTCTTCATCATTTCATTTGATTTTTTAAAATTTGTTTTGACTTGATTTTAGTTTAGTTTAGTTTAGTTTAGTTCAGTGTTGTGTTGGCCCTAGGATCATTCCCATATGAAGCTAGTGGAAGTATAAAATTATCCAGGCTACATTTGTAGCAGGTGAATAACATAAAAGAGTATCTGCACTTAATCATAAATCATGTTTGTCCACGCAAAGCCTCAGATCTCTGGATATTTCCGTCTGGAAGTTTCAGTTCACAAGTTGCCAGAGTGAAAACATCAGAGCGGATGGGAGGTGCTGGCGTATCAGGTTTGATCTGATCAGTTCACAGTCAGTTCATGCTTTCCTGAGCGTGTAATCATCAGCTATAACCGTTCAGATCATCGCTGCAAACATTTCCACTCGCTGCCCGTCCATCATAACTGTATACCATCTACACGTTGTGCAGTGCTACAGCAGATACCTAGATTCACATAAAACATGCGTGAAGAAGATGAATAGTCTGTTGCTGGCAGGCTGAGAGGAGCTGGCATAAAAGAGACGTCTAAAACAAAGTGTAAATAAGTCAATTTAATGGCCGTCCTGCCACCTTTGAAATGTTTCTCTCTGTGAGATTGAAAAATGTGATTGAGCACAAGATGTAAAGGAGCGTGTCTGGCTAAAGTAAAAATACGAACTTGTCAGACAGACACGGAAAATACAGTCCATCTCAAGGGCTGTTGGTTAAAAAAGTCTCTTTGTTCGAGGAGAGGAAAGAAAAGGCTGTGGTTACATGAAATGTACAAGCTTATTTTTTATTTTATTTTGAGATGATAAAGAGATTTAATTTGTGCTTTTTCTTTACTGTGGGATAATTCTGTATAGTGTGTGTTTTTCAGTCAGGTAATGCATGTTTGGGTCATAAATACACTTTTATAACTATAAAATCAAATAAGAATGAAATAAAAATTATCACATTGTTTTTATACTGTCCACATGAATGTAAACTGTCTGTGTTTTCAGCACCTGATGTGTGCTGGTCTCTGGTGTTTGGTGGAAGGAGACACGTCATGTAAAACCAAACTAGATCCACCGCTGGACGGCACTGAATGTGGAGCCGACAAGGTAACCATTTATGATTACAGTGTTATTAAACTTTAGCCATTAATATGTTTATAAGCAACTGAAAAAAGCACAAATGTCAGGGCGTTAAAACTTCTCCAGGGCCCCAAAACATCCTCGGACCCCAAAGGGTTAATATTAAGGAAATTATACCTTTAATTTAAAAACAGCCAATACTATAGGTAAAATCATTTTGACAGATGGGGAATAAAGCGGCTGACTTGGCTGTGGAGCAGATCAAAATATCAGACTGAAAGTGCTGCTGAAAGTTTCATTTACTATAATGACAGAAACCTGCTGATTTGTACAGGGTGTTAAAATGCAAAAAAATATGCAAATAAATTTAAGAAAAAAGACTTTAGACTTATTATTTAAAATATTGTAATGATGTTCACTACCAATCAAAAGTTTTTTTATACTTTTAAAGGAAATGAATACTTTTATTTAGCAAGGACACGTTAGAAAAATCACAGTTTCCATAAAAAATATGAAGGAACACAACTGTTTTCAACAGTTAACATTAAAATAAATTATTTAATACTTTCATTTAGCAGAGACCCATTAAATTGAACAAAACTGACAGTAAACACATTTATAATGCTACAAAATATTACATTTTCATATAAATGTTGTTTGTTCTATTCATCAAAGAATCCTGAAAAATAAAATGTATCATGGTTTCCACAAAAATATGAAGCAGCACAACTGTTTTCAACATTGATAATAATCAGAAATGTTTCTTGAGCAGCAAATCTGCATATCAGAATGATTTATGAAGGATCGTGTGACACTGAAGACTGGAGTAATGATGCTGAAAATTCAGCATTGATCACAGCAATAAATTACATTTTAACATGCTGTATATTCAAATAGAAAACTGTTATTTTAACTTCAATAATATTTCACAATATTACTGTTTTACTGAATGTTTGATCAAATAAATGCAGCCTTGGTGAACAGAAGATACTTCTTTTTTAAAAGCATTAAAAAAATGTAGTGTAAATCAATGGGGGATTATCAACATGGATTTCTTAAAACATAAAATTCATAATTGCAGCAGTTTAATAAATGAGGCTAGTGGCTGGGAACAAACCCTATAATGTTTGCAGAGTGTCAATACAGCAGCACTGCCTGTAATCAACTTCATATGAAAGCAATATAAACCAGTGGTTTGTCTTCATTTAGCTGGATTAACACTTATGTGTATGTCTTTATCAGTGGTGCAGGGCGGGTGAGTGTGTCAGTAAAACACCCATCCCGCAGCATGTGGATGGAGACTGGAGTCCATGGAGCACATGGAGCATGTGCAGCCGAACATGTGGCACAGGAGCGTGCTTCAGACAGAGGAAATGTGACAACCCCCCGTAAGCCTTTACATCTCTCACTTTCTCCCTCCATGTCTCCATGGTCAACTAGTCGTTCAGAAAAGTAGTCAGCAGGTCAGTGTTTAACTGATATCAATAACTCATCATTCGCCATCCAGTCTTACTTTCACTGATATAAGTGTCTGTTACTAACTAGTAGTCATGCATCTCCTATTGTGAACAAACAAGCTGTAGTCTAGAGATGATCGGACTCGATGCAAGCGCAGTCACCATCCAAACCCACAATGCACCACAATAATCCTGTTTGTGTTTTGGCAGGAACAAGCTTTCCTCTCACTCTCCTGTGACGCCGTTTCTCTCCGAGTGTCATTTCTCAACTCCTGACAGCCCGCCAGAGAGCTTGTGTGTGTGTGTTTAAAACATGATGTAATAATTCAAAGTTCTCCGGTTATTTCGAGTGCAGAACAGCGTGCAATTTGTGAGCGATGGTCTAAGGTGTGCGTTTTTGTTTTGGACGCTCGTAACATCTTGTGCCGCGTTCTGGAGGTAATCGCTCTTTTGTGCGCGGCTCCACCGTGGATCGTAAAACACTTGGAGCTGCATCAAGCAAACTGAAGAGCAGGGCGGCGCATACTCCTAGCTGGATTCTTATGGAATCTCATTCTGTAAACAGAAGTTCTCTCCCTGCTCTACTATTAGCCAAGTTGAGTGTTCCTTTAAAGAACATCACTAAAAATTTTGTAGTGCATAGCTCTTTAAGGATATTGAAACAAATTAAGAAATTTCTTGGTGTCACGCTGCCCTCCCTTCATTCTCCCATTTGTGAGAATCATAATTTTACACCGGCTTTGAGTGATAGAACCTTTCAAGTGTGGAATAATAAGGGTCTTTCCGCATTTAATGACTTGTACACAGATGGTCAATTTTCCTCCTTTGATCATCTTCTTAGTAAATATCATCTTTCTCATTCTCATTTTTTTCGTTACTTGCAGATTCGGCATTATGTTCAGCAGACTTTTTCTGACTATAAGATTCAGCAGGAAGAGCATTGTTTCTATAATTTAGTGCGACAAGCCCCAGACTCTCGGCATATGGTTTCACAATTTGTTTCCGTTCTCTACGCAGGTTATTACATCTGATTATCTTAGGGTAGCCTGGGAAAAGGAGGCTGGTATCAGCTTATCTGATAACCTTTGGTCTGAAATCTTGAAGAGAATACATAGCTGTTCCATCAATGCAAGACTTCAATTAATTCAGTTTAAAATTGTACACAGACTGCATTATTCTAAAACCAGACTCCACAAGATCTACCCAGCTGTGTCTCCTATATGTGATCGACGTCAAGTTGCAGAGGGAACTTTGTCTCATGCTTTTTGGTCTTGCCTGAAACTCCAGAGATACTGGGAAGATATTTTCTCTTGGTATTCAGTGGCATATGATCAGACCCTTCCTCCTGAAATGGAATTGGCCATTCTTGGCTATTCTGACACAGTTTCCTCTTTGCCTTATCATTTGCAGTTGGCATTAATGTTGGGCATGGTTGTGGCCAAGAGAATTATATTAAGGGATTGGAAAGCCACTGCTCCCCTATGTTTTCAGAAATGGCTTGTGGAGATGGTCTCCGTTTTAAACCTTGAAAAAATTCGGCTTAACGAATCAAAGTCTCTTAATTTTTCCAAGATCTGGGGTCCCTTCCTCCAATATTTACAGAATAGTTGAACTTAAAGATTATTATACTATTTATAGTATTTATCTGTTATGGCTATGATTTCTGTGGTGATTTTTGTCCCTGTCCTTGCATGATCTATATTCATTTTATGTATTTTATTTAGGCATTTTTGTCATTTATAAATTCGTCTGGCTTTCTTTTTTTTTTTGGGGGGGGTCATGTTGTTTGTTTGTTGTTGTTATAAAACGAATAAAAATAATATGGCAAAAAGCAAACTGAAGAGCAAAAAGGAAGAAAAATAGGGCTGACGTACAAGTCATGTTCTGTTTTTAAGTACAATAGTGGAAAAGGGGAAAGAAAGAGTGTGAGGAAGAAACTAGATTTGCATTTGCTGAAAAAAAGTAGCAGTGCTTGCAAGAATAATGTTTAGGTTGTAGGTTTTGCATTCTTTATGTGAGACCAGTTTTAATTCAGAATGCAAATAAATGTAAGAAAGAAGGCCAATCACAATTTAATATGCAAATCTCTGATGAGGTCATCAGTGTCGGTTACATTTTGATTGCTGAACTGAGTGTCAGTGTGATTTTGAATCTTTAATCTAGACAACATGAAGTCTGGTTCTGAACAGTTCCTCAGTGCATTTCAAAAACTTCTTCTGTAATCTTTCATCAAAATATAACTTTTCTCATTTTTGGCATGCTGGCTATTCGATTATGTTAATCAATAGCCAAATAGCTGTTTTGGCATAATTTTAGCAAACTTGCATTCAAGTCTGGCTTCATTCTGGTATGCAACACCACTTTTTGTGATCTAATCAATTCCTGATGCATTAAACCAAGTCCCTCCCTACATTTCTTAAAATTTAAATATCATGTTTCAGTCAGAGATGTGTGACATTAGAGAAGCAATGGGCTGTGAACAGTATTTTTCTTTGACTTAAATTTCCTTAAACGTTTACATAAAACAGAAATAAATTTAAGTTTGCACTGCCATTCAAAAGTTAAGTAAGTACGTTTTCTTTTTTTTTTTGAAAGAAATTAATACTTTTATTCAGCAGGGATGCGTTAAATTGATCAAAAGTGACATTAAAGACATTTATAATGTTACAAAAGATTTATAATTTAAATAAATACAGAGTTCTGGCATGAAACTCTAGATGGCACAGTCCGATAGGTCTAACTCAATCTGACCTAATGACATCATCACATGGCACAGCTGATTGGTTCTCTCCAGTATCGGTAGCCAATGAGCTCACTGCTCAACATTCAAATATATGATTAGTGCTTGCAGTAGCAGTTGCAGCTTGCTTCAGAACAGCGAAATCAACATCTAAGATAAGTGAATGCTCTTCTAATCCATATTGCTGTGTGTATTGCATGGTCTGCCTAATTTAATTCAAAAATGAGCAACCATAATCAAGTTTAAACTAAGTGTCATGTTAGCAGTTTGCATTGTATGCAGGAGCGAATATTAAGCATATTAGCAGCAGCATTTAGCATCTGTGTTTATACAGCCGGAGCAAACGCAGTTTAGAGCATATGTAATCGGTCTGAGGACACGCCGATAGTAACGGACATGAAACAGGTTAATGTGTGTGGTTGATTTTCAGCTGCACGCGCTTATCGCAGTCATATCAATGACAGTGTTGCGGGAGACGCTGAAGATCACTATCAACAGCTGTAACAGTTAGTTCCGAGTGAAATGCATTATGGGCAGTGTAGTTCAGAGAAATCTGCTCGTGTGACGTGTGCTCTCGCTGTGCTGTGTAATTCAGAATACTGAGAAAGAACATTTATATTCTGCTTTTATTTCAGTTCATTCAGGTCAGTCCACCCAGGGGTTTTGTGCACTGAGTGAAATGCATTATGGGTAGTGTAGTTCAGAGAAATGTGCTTGTGCGACGTGTGCTCTCGCTGTGCTGTGTAATTCATTAAATGGAGAAATAACATTCATATTCTGCTTTTATTTCAGTTCATTCAGGTCAGTCCACCCAGGGGTTTTTGTGCACTGTAACTTTGACAACTTTTATCTGCACGAGAGAGTAAAATGGCATGCATCGGCTAACTTTGTCCATCTCATCATTGCATGAACATGAATTAACAAGCTGTTACGCTGCCGCTGGGACTGATGAAGTGGAGAAAGTAACAGCAGTTATTAAATGACAAAATTATGATATTTGCTCAGGTGGGTGCTGGGGTCTTATCTATCGGATTGCAACATATATCCATTTTGTTAATTAAACATTACACATAGTGCGTGTCTAATTAGAGTTAAGCCAGTCGGCGTGGTAGCCCAGGCTCACATAGTCATAGGCCACTAGCGTTGAGCCGGTCGGCGTGGTAGCCCAGGCTCACATAGTCATAGGCCACTAGCGTTGAGCCGGTCGGCGTGGTAGCCCAGGCTCACATAGTCATAGGCCACTAGCGTTGAGCCGGTCGGCGTGGTAGCCCAGGCTCACATAGTCATAGGCCACTAGCGTTGAGCCGGTCGGCGTGGTAGCCCAGGCTCACATAGTCATAGGCCACTAGCGTTGAGCCGGTCGGCGTGGTAGCTAGGGTTGGGTATTGTGTTTTTTTTTTTTTTTTTTTTTTTTTTTTTTATACCGGCGCCAAATCGATACTTTTAAAGTGGTTCCGGTGCTTGAACCAATACTTATTAAAAAAACAAATAAATAAAAATTCCCCAAAAAATGAGGGATTGGCCATTAGCACTATAAACGCATGATGTCTGTTTCATTCATACTGGACGCCAGAGGGCGCCCTCGCACAGAAAATCCACATATCCAGACACAGAAGTAGCGGAACTCATGACCCTCCAGGAAATCCCTAATATGGACAAAGGCATCGCTATTATAGCTGTAACTGAATAAACAGAACATATAAACGTTTTGAATGATAAAACAAAGACGATGAACACTCGACTGCGACAATATAGGTTATCTGTGTTATTCAAGCCATCTCTGGTATTTTCATAATAATTAAGTATATTTATAATCCATTGCTAATCGATGTATTCTTTTCAAGGTAGCCTATGGAACATATTTTCTGCCTCATTCTGTGACAAGAAGCCACATCAGATCACAAAGGAAGCATTTGACTGGTGTTGTGGAGTAAAAAGGTTATAATGTTCTCTTTTGTTGGATAATAGGTTTAGAAATGTGAATACAAGGGAAGTTTAGCTTTAGGCATTTTAATTTAAGCATGTTTAGCTTAGTTAACGGAAGGCTACCTGCTGCCATCAGAGCAAGTGTAATTGCTGCATTCACGCGTTCCTCGGATGATCTCATTACCCGAGTTGTGCTTTTAAGTCGGAATGTGAAAACAACATGGACACTCGCGTTACTACAAAGATTTGTTGGATTTGTATTATTAGAGCTTTCCGACTTGAGTTCACGTGCATTTTCTCAGTCGGGAAATAATTTTTCATGTGCGGTGCCGGTGATGATGCTTCTTACATCTGTTTCGGAGAACCAGAGGACAAATATTTGAATCGATCGCTCAGGCATTGCACCGAAATCTGTGTTCTGATTCGGTTCTAGTACATAGCGGTTACATAGGTATCGGTGCCATATTGGTACCGGGTTTCGGTACCCAACCCTAGTGGCACACATAGATAGTAATGCATGCAGTTCACATGGCTCTTCGGAGCAGCAGCAGTACAGACATAGAGTTAGACATAGGTCTAACTCAATCTGACCTAATGACACCATTATCACATGGCACAGCTGATTGGTTCTCTTCTGTATCGATAGCCAATGAGCTCGCTTCTCAACATTCAAATATATGATTAGTGCTTGCAGTAGCAGTTGCAGCTTGCTTCAGAAATCCTCCACCTTCCCCAGCTCCACCTGTATAGATCTGCTATGAGGGGATTCATGTACGCTATAAGGGGGGGTTATTTCATGTATGTTATATTTGCAGCAGCAATATTTCTTACATGCTCACATCAGCATGTTGTGGATGTATTGGCAGTAGCAAGTCTCGGTACTTGCTCTGCGGCAGCAGCAGCGTAGTAGATCTATTCCGCCAAGACCAAATACATTAACATTGTCATGTACATTACCATGCCAATCACTCAGAGAGTTGTCATGGCAGAAATGCAGTTATTTTTAATATTCTAGTTATCAATAGCTGCAATACAACTGTTTTCAGCATTGATAAAAAAAAATATTTCTTGAGCAGCAAATCATCATATTAGAATGATTTCTGAAGGATCATGTGACACTGAAGACTGGAGTAATGATGCTGAAACTTCAGCTTTGATCACAGGAATAAATTACATTTTACAATGTATTCAAATAGAAAACAGTTATTTTAATTTTTAATAATATTTTTTAAGTAATCTTTTTAATAATATTATTGATCAAATAAGTGCAGCCTTAGTGAGAATAAGATATTTGACGACCTCAAACCTCTGAACGGTAGTATAATTGGTCTGTTCAATGAGTGTTTGGGGCTGAAATAAAATAAGATAAAATGAACCCTAATTAAAATGTTTGAGAGATATCACTACAGTTCTGCCTGGCAAACTCCATAATTCATTAAAATGACATGCAGGTTCGGAAATACGACAGTTTTGAGAGACTCTCACAGCAGATGAGACAGACTGAGAGATGGAACACGATGTAGACTGTGAGAATGTGAGGAAACTTGTTACTGAACAGGTTTTAGACTGTCACTTTGTCAGCTGTCATCATTTGAGCAAGCAAAACATGTTCTAATGAAGGTTTATGGGGCCTCAAAACCTTTCCTCAGTCATATTTAGCTTGACCTCTGTCACGGAGCGACTGTCTGTCCTCATGTCTCCTCTCCTCAATCCTCGGCCTACAGCTGGGATAATGATCTTCATGCTTTGTCTTCAGGTTTAGGTCATAGAGCAGTCTGTTTAACTCTATTTCTTGTGGTTGTGGTTCTCTAGGCCCGGTCCAGGAGGAAAGTACTGCCAGAAGACCAGCGTGGAGCACAAAGTGTGTGAAGGGCCGCCGTGTACGAAGGGTCTGCCCACGTTTAGAGACCAGCAGTGTCAGTCTCATGACCGGCAGGCCAGTAAGAAGAAAAGCCAGATGTGGACAGCTGTGATCGATGATGGTGAGACTAAAAAATACACCTCTGTTTGCTGAATGAAAGCCAGTATTTGTTTCATACTAATTTTGTTGTGATGATTTCAGAAATAGTGCCTGTTTTGCTTGAGCATGTTACACTTTCACACAAAATATGATGCATTTTGAAGCTTTTTTGCTTTTGACAACCATTTGAAAAATGAAGAAGTCTTGTATTTTAACTTAATCAGCAGAAAAACTGCCACAAAGACACGATTGCTGTCTTCCTCTCTGCCAGATTACAGCTATGTGATTTTCACATATATGAATGATTTAAGGTCCTTGTACACTGAGTCCAAAATTTTCGTATGCATTTTTTCGTATTCGTCATCCTAAAAATTCATCAAGCACAGAAACCTTGCACAGTAAGTCTGATGTGTATTAATTAATCCGTTGTGAAAAACAGTACTAAATGGAGTCTTCAAGCAGTAAGGATGATTTTGTTGTCCTCTCGCTTCTTAAAAAGAGAAAAAGAAAGGAAATATTCAAAGTTTACTTCAGGATGTCAGTGGCTCAGTTTGATGCTTTGCTAGCGATACTAGAGCCACATATTAAAAAGAAGACCACCAATTTCTGTGAACTCTGTGTGCAAGGATCTTTACGGTGCTTTGTGCAGCGAGAAGTGGATGAACTTGACAATCGCCATTCTGGATTTTGGCGTTCGCTTGTACGGTGGCTCTGAATTGTCAAAACACCTGTCAAAATACTTGCTACGGATGTGAAAAACGCAGAAAATCGAACCCGGTCCGAAATTTTTTATGACGGACGAAAGTTTCGGAGGCAGTGTGTAAATGTGATTGACACAAAGTGAGGATGTATTTATTTTTCAACGTGCAAAAATTTCGGATGAAAATTTCTAACTCAGTGTGCCATGGCCTTTAGAAGACATTATTTTGTATTTAATCTTGATTTCAAGGCCAATCACTGCAGAAAATGCAAACATGACCCAGATGTTTTCTGCTACTTCTGGGGGTGTTTTGCAACATCCAAACAGCAACAGAAAATTACAGATTGTGTGGAAAAAAATAAATATGAATACTTCATATTAAATACTTTGTCATTAAAAACAAATGTTTTCACATTTGACTGCTTTTGTTATTTTGATGAGTGCATTAATGCTGTTCAGTTCAGTGTCAAGAGAGTCTGAGCTGGATTGAAAACAGCACTCGTCTGATTTCACACTGTGAGCTCTTGTCAAGGACATGTTCACTTGATTACTGGGCAGCTTATGAGCGAGAGGATGAATGCTATGCCTTTTTAGAGTCCAAATTCATCTCTGAAATTCTTTGACCCAGTCGTCGTCTTGTTCCGCTGCTCTTTCTGTCACTCATAATCATCTTAAGCGTCTTGTCATCTCGGCAGCTTGTTTATTTTTTCCTGTTTCAGAAATGACACCAAACTCAGTTCAACGCAATGTACAGTAAATGCTGACATGTGAATCATATTTGTTTTGGTGTGTGAACTATAATAAATCTATCTATCTATCTATCTATCTATCTATCTATCTATCTATCTATCTATCTATCTATCTATCTATCTATCTATCACCATCTCAAGTGGGCTACCATCAACTGTGATAGGTGCATTTACAGTTGGATTGATGCACATAAGTTGAGTCTTGGTGGTACTGATGTTAAGACCTGTCTGTTTAGCAATGTTATGCAGCCTAGTTGTTTTCTCCTGCAGGTGGTCTTGCTTGGAGGATAATATAGCAAGGTCGTCTGCAAAGTCTAGATCTTCTAATTGGGAGAACAGAGTCCACTGGATCCCTCTAGGCTTGTCTGCTTTGGTTCTGTGCATGATCCAGTCAACGGCAACAAGAAATAGGATGGGGGATAAGATACAACCCTGTCTTACCAGACTCCACTGGGAACCACTCCGAGGGTTTCCCATCAAGTATAACACAGCATTCGAAGGTCGATAGAACAACCCTATCAAGGTCACCATCTTTGGAGGAACTACGTAGGACCTTAGGATCCTTCCATAGGGTGTCACGATGTAAACTGTCGAATGCCTTTTTAAAGTAGATGAAGTTAATATAAAGGGGGTGTTCCATTCAAGACATTGCTCAATAATGTTTCTTAAAGCAAATATCTGATCTATGCATCCTCTCCCTTTCCTGAATCCTGCTTGCTCCTGCCTTAGCTTGATGTCAATAGTGGAGTCAATTCTGCGCAGGAGAACTTGACAGAAGACCTTTGATGGTATAGACAACAGTATGATGCCTCACCAGTTGTTACAGACCTGGAGGTTACCTTTCTTAGGGAGCTTCACAATTAATCCTTTGGACCAGTCCACAGGGATAGTGCCTTTGTCCCATATGTTGCGGAAGAGGTTTGTTAAAACTTTTGTTGAAGTTCTCAGGTCGGCCTTAAGCATTTCTGCATGGATGTTGTCAATTCCACAGGCTTTCCTACTTTTTGAGGCTTTGATGGCATGCCTTACTTCATCTTCCGTTGGTGGACTGATGTCAGTGTCCAGGACAACAACTGCTGGTGGTGGATTTGCAGGATCATCAGGTTCTGGTCTGTTGAGTGCTTCGTAGAAATGTTGTTCCCAATGAGCAGCTTGCTCATGTTCTGTTTTAAGATTGTTTCCATCCTTATCCTTGACAGGGACTGACTGACTAGTCTTTTTGCCACATAACTGCTTGGTGATCTTAAACACAGGGCTGAGGTCCCCTCTAGCAGCAGCAGTTTCTGCTTCCTTCGCTAGTCCTTCAACAAAGGATCTTTTGTCCCTTCTGGCGCTTTTCTTTACCTCTCGGTCTTTGGCTTTATAAGCCTGCTTTGCCTGTTGTTGCAATCTTGGTGATTTGGTGCTTAGCATTTTGGCTTTCAGATGTTTTCTTTCTTCTATTTTCTCCCATGTTCCAGATGTTAACCATTCCTTGTTTTTCTTTTTTCTGTAGCCTAATATAGTTGTGGCTGTTTCTATGTAGGTGTTCTTTATTGTTCCCCAAACGGTGTTAATATCAGGTTAATATCATTTGTAGAATCAGCTAAGGCAGCAAAGTGGTTTCTCAGTTCTACTACAAACTGTTTGTTGGTCTTGGGACACTTTAGTTTGGCAATGTCTAGGTGTCTTCTTTGCTGACTCTTTTGCTTTACATTGTGTAGTTTTAGCGTAATGCTCGCTATAACTAGGTGGTGGTCGCTATTCACATCTACTCCACGACAAACTTATGTAACATCTTGTAATGACTTGCGCCATTTGCCATTAATAGCAATGTGGTCAATTTGGTTGATAGTTTGACCATCAGGTGAGCTCCATGTGAGTTTGTGGATGTTCTTGTGTGGAAAGATGGTGCCTCCTATCACGCAACCATTATCCAAGCAAAATTCTGCAAATCGCCTGCCATTATCATTCATCACCCCGCAGCCATGTTTCCCCATAGCTCTCTCATAGTTGGTGTTGTTTGCCCCAACCTTAGCATTTATGTCTCCCATGATCAGCAACATGTCATGTTGAGGGACTTGGGAGACCACTGTTTGTAGTTCTTCGTACCAGGTGTCTTTTTTCCTCATCCTCAGCTTCATTTGTTGGTGCATAGCACTGTAGGATGGTGAGTTTACAGTGTTTTGAGTTGAAGCAAACTTTGATCAGTCAGGCGCTAATTGGGATATAGATGTATGTCTTTCTCTGTCTACTTATTTATCTACATATTGATTGTCATATTGGAACACTTGCATTATATATATATATATATATATATATATATATATATTTGCTATGAAATCCACTTATGTACTGCAATTAGATGAAAAACATATAACCAAAAAAACAGCCAGACAAACATCCTCCTGTGCACCTGAACGGCCTCCACTCTGACGAAAGCGATGAAACCGCAGCACTCAAAAGCACTCTCTGTATTTTACCTCACAATGGCAGAAACACAGGCTCTCCAAACTCTGATCGCTCGAGAGTCACTTACAGACAATCACTCTATCAGGGAACTTTCATCATCTGCAGACTAAAGGAGCACGAAGCCGCTCTTAAATCACAACATGTCACTCAGAAACAGGCTTGTGATCTTCTTAAGTAGACGTAATACCGTGAGTGCACTTCATGTGTTCTAGCTGGAAGTACAGATACTTGTGCCTCTTTCAGCCTCAAAGTTCAATCTATAGAGAGTGGATCCAATAAAACTAATTTATGGAGGAAATTTGTGAACAAACATTAAAAATTATGCATGTACATGCTAAATGAAGCATTTATGTATGTGTGTGCTTTTATTTCCCAGAAAAGCCATGCGCTCTGTATTGTTCACCCATCGGCAGTGATGCACCGGTACTAGTGGCAGAGCGTGCGCTGGACGGAACGCCATGTGGACCTTACGAGAGCGACCTGTGTGTGAGTGGAAAATGTCAGGTGTGTATTTTCATACTACTGTTCAAAAGTTTGGGGTCAGTAAGGTTTTTTTCTTTTGTTCACCAAATCTGCATTTATTTGTAAAATGTAATTTATTCCCGTGATGCAAAGCTGAATTTTCAGCATCATTACTTCAGTCTTCAGTGTCACATGATCCTTCAGAAATCAGTCTAATATGCTGATTTGGTGCTCAAGAAACATTTCTGATTATTATCAGTCTTGAATGCTTCATATGGTTGTGGAAACACTAATAGATTGTTTTCAGGATTTTTTTAAATTAAAGTTTTATTTTCAATGTATTATGTTACAAAACATTTCTATGTCTTTACACTCTAAAAAATGCTGGGTTAAATACAAACAAGTGTTGGTATTGTGAAATATGGACAAACCCAGCAATTGGGTTGTTTTGACCCAGTGGTTGGGTTAAATGTTTAACCCAACCTTCTGGGTAGTAACCCAACCGCTGGGTCAAAACAACCCAATTGCTGGGTTTGTCCATATTGTACCCATCACTGGGTTGTATTTAACAAAGCATTTTGTAATTTTTGATCATTTTAATGTGCCCTTGTGGAATAAAAGTATTAATTACTTTCGTATTTCATAAAACAATTGTATTTATCCCAAACTTTTGAATCACAGGGTCATCATACAAATATTGTATTGATTGCAGTTGTCTCTGAAATCAAACTGGAATATGAGAAGACTGATGTAAGATATGAGAGATTTTCGCATAAAAATGACACACTTATTGAATTCAATGAAGATTAAGGTTAATAACCCTCCTGAAGTGCAGAGCTTAGAACAGTTTAAAAGATTTATCGATTGATTAAAGATGAGCGTGAGATCATATTGCACCGGTTCATTTTCTGCACTGATTTACAGTAAAACATTGCAGAAGAGTATTTGATTAAATGAGCAACATTTTGATTGTAGAAGCATGTTGTCAAAAAGGAAGACTGATGAATGAGTGTTAGGAAAGCGACCGAAGTACAGAGATTCGTGTAGTAGTTCGACAAAGAAAGACACATCGCACACTTAATTTTGGCCACTGTTTCTACAGTCAACCACACTGTTGCTCACTGGCCACTAGTAAGAGTACAAGACTGAAAGGAGGTCACAGTCTGCAAGCCGCCTCCGCTAATAGACGGCAGGAATGAAAAAAGCAGGTCAAAATGTCTGGAAGTGATTTTACTGTGTGCACTATAAAAAACACACACATACACATGTGCGGTTACTGTACGTGAGTGAAGGGATTCATCGGCCCCCGAGCATTGACTACATCCCTTCATTCTGTAACATAAACATGCTCCACCTGGGCAGCCCCACAGGAAGTGAGCAGATTCAGGGTCAGATCCTGTCCTGGTTTGTCCTGACCACAATCCCAGCATCGCTGTTTTGGAGTTAGCGCTCATATTCATGGTCTGAATGAAGCTCTTGTGTCAGAAACATCCAGAGGGAGAGAACGGATGCTCAGCGCCAGGATCCTTCAGTGAAAATATGATTTCTGTGACCTTTTTTGGTTTATACCATTCTGCTTTTACTTTTAAGCCAGCCTATTAAGAAATAAATCACTGACAGAGATGACCTGGATTTAATGAAGGCTACAATAGGGAAGACATTATTTACACACAGGATGCAAACAAGAAGATTCTTTCAGCATCATTAGCGTTATCCCTAATTTTCTGATTTGTCAATTGTTTGTTAGTGATTCTCAGAAACACATGCTCATTGTTTTTCTGGTGAATGCTAATTTAATTTGCTGAAAATGTACACACCCGCAGGCCATCCAAGATGTAGATGAGTTTGTTTCTTCATCAGATTTGGAGAAATGTAGCATTACATCACTTGCTCACCAATGGATGCTCTGCAGTGAATGGGTGCCATCAGAATGAGAGTCCAAACAGCTGATAAAAACATCATAATAATCCACAATTATTATAAAAGCCCGCATCTTCAGCCCTATGCAAACGTAGTGGGGCTGAATGAGAGCGGTTACAGGGCGATGCCTCGGGTCGAACAGACACTTGCGAGCTGTTTGTCGCCCAGTTCGGCATCGTCCCTGAAAGCCCCGGCACTGCCCTCCAAGCCGCTGCGTACTACATCTAGCTTGGTGGGCAAAGGGTACACTGCAGCGGGTCAGGCTGGTGTGTGTTTGCACACTATGGCAGTGTGTGCCGACCTGCTGAAGGAGCTAGATGAGGGTGAGGAGATTAACCCCGAGGATATCACCGAACTCCACAGAACCACTGATTTATCTCTCCGCGCCACCAAAGAGACCGCCCGTGCCATCGGCAGGTCTATGGCAGCCATGGTGGCCGCGGAGAGGCATCTGTGGTTGACCCTCTCCGAGATAAAAGAGAAGGACAGGGTCTTCCTCATGGACAACCCGCTTGCGCCTTCTGGCCTGTTCAGCAACGCCGTCAACTCGGTCGTCGACAGGTACCAGGAGGCCCGTAAACAAGTGGCGTGTTCCAGCGGTTCCCCCCTCACCGCTCTCTAGCTTCGGGGGCTGCTGGGCAGGAGCAGCCCCACTCGTGTACCGGCTCCTCATACCGGGAACAACAAAAGCGGAGTGTTGCCTCTCGTGCTCCTCCACAGCGGGACCGAGAGCAGCGGCACACTAGGG